TCCCAGTCCTGTGCACCCATCTCCCTGCCCTTGCCAAACTGCTGGGGTTGTTTGCACTCCTTTTACAGCCTGGCCTTACAGCAGTGCCACAGCAGTGACCCAGCCCACCTGAAGAGTAGCTATTAAAATATGTTAATGAATTCAACTGGATTATGGATATGGTAATTAGCTAAAAAGTTGCACCCAGTTTACCAAATTAAATCCCAGACCTCTTTTCTCTCCTATTTCCAAACACAGCACACTCTAGGATGCAAGAATACGCTGGGCAAGTCAGACAGGGTTAAACAAACACATAGAATATTTAAAAATATTTGTAAAAACGGAACCAAACAGCAACACACAGCATGACTCTTTTTCAAAAAAAAAAAAAAAAGCTGAAAAACAATGGCATTTTATTACATTCTGAATATTTAAACAAAAGAGCAGTTTGACATGAGATGGTGTGAGTGTATTTAACAATGAACAAAGCAAAATGCTCTTCAGAAGGGTTTGGGTACAACAGGCTGAGTGGATTAAAATAATTTCAGTGACAATGAACCTGGTGAAGCACCACACTGTACTGGAACCTCCTTAGGCCAGCAGAAAATACAGGGAAAGGGCTGATGTTTCAAGGTTCAACTTTCAGATACCTCTCCTGGCACAGCAGAGCAAGAGATTTGAAGTTTATTCCAGAACATAACAAACAAAGCTAACATCTAGACATCCAGACCATGACTGGAAAAGATGCCATCCACGTGCCCAGGTGTGATTTTAAATAATCTGGTGGGTATAGAAGACTAAAGAATGCCACGGATACAACATCCACCAGTGTGAGATCTCAGGATTTGAGTCCCGGGATGCAGGGCCCCCGAGACCACCCTTGGGGGGCCCGAGAGTCCTGGAATGTTGCCAGAAGTGTCTGATGGCAAGACTTTGACCCTACACGGGAGATGACACCTGTATGAAGATAAGAGGGCCTCACCGAGGTGAAAAGTGGAAAGATTAGCTAATTAGAGGGTGAGAAACAGAGTTTAAGATTTATGTACAGGGGGGTTTAGAAGAGTAAGATGGAGGAATTAGAGTGTGTCCTGCCCTCCTTCTTCTTCCTCCTCTCCTCCATCTTCTTTAGCCACAGTAGCACCTTTAGATTAGTTATTACTAAGAGTACACCGAGTTATAACAATAGATAGTATTGAAGAAAAATGATAAATATTGTATACGTAGCAAGGGGTATAAAGATACGTGGCGGTCCGTGAGACGGCACAGTGTGCTCATGGCTGACTGCTGAGCAGATCTTTGTTAGGCTGAAAGAAAATCTTTTCGATAAACAATTAATAAACATAAAACCAGAAAGAAGAACTGAAGCCTCTTCTCGTCCTTTGACACGCGGGCTGCCCCAAGGCCACCCCCAGGCCTTCCAGGCCCCTCAAACAGCCGAGATAAACCAAACACACCAGTGCCAGTATTCTGAGTCAGTTGTACCTCAGCCACAAAGAGAGGCAGCTCCTCGGGCAGGATCCAGGAGCGAGGGTAGAAGTTGTACTCCAGGGGAAACAGATCCCGCATGGTTCTCATGGCCCGGCTCAGGGTGATCTTCCGAACCGTCTCTGTCATGCCTGGAAAAGGAACAGAGTTACAAATCCCCTCACTGCAGCCTCCTCCCAACAAATGAATCATTTCAGTGTCAGTCATTACTCACCTGCTGGGAAGGCACTCTGGTCATTGCTGTCAATAAAGCTGAACATCTTTTGAGATTCAAATCTGACACAATAATTGTGGCATTGCCCTGCCATAGTTACTATTGCATGTGTTTCTGTATAATATTAGAAAAAAATTAATTCTCAAAAATATAGCTCAGAATTAAAGACAGCTTTAGTCAAATACTTACTAGTGCCTTTGCCATAATCCAAAATTATTTTTCTAATCTATCATTCCAGGGATAAGTACAAATGTAACTTAAATGTAATCAACCACTTTGGTTTACTTTGTAGTTATTTAAGTATCTGCATCACAAACAGGTTATTTTGTGAACAGCCAAACCAACATTTGCTGAAGTCTTATGTCCATTGGGAACACGGCTAAAAAGCTATTTTTATGGGAAAGTTTCTGGAAAAAGCCCTGCATGAAATTAGCACAACATTCCTGGAAAATCAGGTCTAGTTCAGAAGGGCTCTGGTTTGATTCCTGTGCAGCCACTTGTTCACCAGGTAGAAGCCAAAACACAGACAGGTAACATTCATCTAACAGGGATTTAAACCATCAGAACACAACACCACCATCCTACACCTGAGTGGGAACTTCCCTCAGGCAGGAGAAAGTCAGGGTAAATAAAGCCTGGAGTTCAATAGCTGAGGTTCTTATGCTCACAGCACACTAACAGCAGCCATAAATCTGAAGTAAAGGGCTTAGATAAGTCAATACCTAAGCTCTTAGCTCTTATTTAGAGAGATCTCAACAGGGATTAAATGAGAAAAAAAGGAGCTTAAAAAAACAGAAGAGTCATCATAAGATGAGGACTGACATGAACTCTTCAATATTAAAAAATCCATTTAAGGAATTCTGCTTCGAGCTTCTCCCTGAGATAAGGCAGAGTATGAAACAAAACAGATTCTTTCCACTTTGAATCAAAACCAAATCCAAAGATACAGCCCTGTTATCAGTGCCTGATAACAGTCAGTAATTGCATACTTCACTAAAATTATAGCCTAACACTCTGCTTTTTCCTAACTTCACGTGTATGAAGCATTCTTCTCAACAAAACCACTTTCTCTCCAAAACAAATTTCAGTTCAGAAATTGTTTAAGACACCCACTGTGATATTCTCACCCCCTCACCAGACCCAGTAATATGCCAAATATACTATCAGCTGATTAGGCAGATAGTTCACATGAAAAACCAGTAAAACACAGAACTAGGTCCCATAAGGCTGTGTTTAAGCATTTGTTGAAGCAGAAAGAGAAGTGGAGTACCTGGGAACTTGTTGACCTGCCCTGAGAAGATGTTGCTGTCGTGGAATGACACCCCGTGCCAGTAGATGTCACACGGGAGGCGGCGGCCAAAAGGAAACTGCAGGAGAGAGCAGAGAGGAGGTTTGAGCAATCTGGGAATTTCTCCTCATTCCTGTCTGCTTTAAACTCTCATTTAAGCATAAACCCCTCACGAACTGTCTTCTGACTGCCAAAAGAAAACAAGCTCTGTATGTTGGTTGCAAAACTGAGAATATTTGGATCAGCTCAAAGACTTTAAAGTGAACAAACCAAGAGAGGTTTTTAAAAACCAAACCCAAATGGCTGAGGCATGGCTGCAGTGAGAACCCCTGAGCTTCTGATCAACCAAAGTGGACGCTCAAAACAGGATATTTAAGTGTATTATTCATTCATATATATCCAGATATAAGTATTAGTTTCTGCAGCATTAATTCCTTTCTGGTACTAATAGCCTGTAATTAAAATAAAAGCTTGCAATTCAATTAATCATTTGTTGAGCATATATATTCCCACTATCAAGAACTAAGGCGATTATTTCAACAATATTAAATATTCCAGGTTCTCTTCCCATTCAGGCAACATTTCACCATAAATTGGCAAACTGCAGTTTGTTTTCTATTATCAAAAAGATCACCTTTTTAAGCAGCCTGAAGAGCTCAGAAGCAGCACTGCCAATTCCTGAGATTCTAATAGTAGTAAAGTGGTTTATAAAATCCCAGTTAGTTTTGTGTAAAGAAGGTGCTCTTCTTTTTCACGCTCATTCTCTTTGACACGGCCCCATTTATCAATCCAAAAATCCCCATTTTATCTGCAGCTCCATGAAGATGCCATTTAACTACCATATGGAATACAGTCACAGGAATAGCTTCTATTACTAGGCTGCATATTTTTCAAATAAATCTGCTATATTTAGCATTTTAGGACATATTTGCATTAAATATCTACCACCCTCAGAACCCAGTGCCATTTACTTATTGAAAGAACCACAGTCTTTTGCAGAAACTTCTTGTTCTTTACTTCATATGTAATTTTTCTTATTTTAAAATATTTCTCTACGCAGTGGATCATTTTTCTTTGAGCATGACAGAAAAAAGAACTGCATAAACCTTTTGAGTGCATTACTTTATTTGCTACTTTAATTAAAATTTCAGTTTCCTCAGTAAATAGCCTTGAAAAATTAATTTAAAATGCTAATTGAGCAATGCATCCTTTCTGTTTCCTTACTTGCAGGGATGAGAAACCCAATTTAACAAGAACCAGTGGATTCTGCACTTATTTCATTATTATTCAGCCTGCAAGATCTGTTTTTGTACAAGTGAAAATTAATTCTGTTGGGCTCTGAAAGACAATCAGTGGCCTTAACCTCTCTCCACAGGTATATCCAGAATACAGATGCAGCATTCGGTCTCAGAGTGCCCTTCCCACTAACACCTGAACAATTTATTTATTTATTAAAAGAAATTGAAATGAAAGGAACAAAATTTGCATTTATATAACACCTTTCATCTACAGAGGATATCAAAGCTCTCTACAAACACTGCTCAGAAATCATTTCACAACAGATGAGGAGTGAGCAGCTCTGGACAGGAAGATGGAAGCCCTGCACCCCCTTGCTGGAAATTTGGGACAGCACAGCGAGGGCCCTGCTCCTGAGAAATCAAGATTATCTGGATTTATCCAACAATGGGATCAAAGTCACCTCCTGAATGAGCTGGGCTGGATTCTGTAACCTCTGCACCTCACTTTACATAAGAGTGGTGTTTGGAGAGGAGCCAAGTTTGGTTATTTGGTGCCTCTGGCAGTGCCAGATATTAATTAATCTTATAATGGGGGAGAGGCCTTTGCAGCACATTCCCAGCTCCTGCTGTGGGACAGAGGCTGAAAAAGGAAGAGGCTGGAGCCATCCTTTTTTAAAATCCTTTAAATCTTTTTTAGTCAGATTTGGGCAACATTTGTCAGAAAAGAATAAACAAGGAGCCATAAAGAGAAGAGAGTTGTTTCCACAGGTTTGACGTGATTAATAATCCATCCCAGTCAAATCTGTCTGACAGGTCATTTCTACCTTTGGATTAGAAGCCAATAATTTAAATTGTCTCACAGGTCCCATCAGTCTGTTCCATCATGTTTAATGACAGGTTAAATGACTCGTTTTCCCCTCAGCTTTTCCCAGCACAAAACCTGAAACTCTCCAAACAGCGAGACAAATGGAACGCTGGGCGCTGGGATATTTGATGCCTGGGACTGTTG